AATGCCCTCAAAATTGCATACAGAACTTTCGGTATAAAAATATTTTCATGTTAAAATAATTAATAACCCTCGTTTTCTATAAAAAAATATGTTAAAATTTTACAAATTAAAATTAACAATCTACAAACTCATGTTAACAAATCTAATTTATAACAGTGTAGTATTTAAACATGTTGTAATCGAGATATATTGCAAGAATGAGTTTTAAAGCCCAAAAAATTGTTTTTGTAAAAAAATATTAATTTTATAACAAAACATAATAATTTTACTTTATTATTTTTACCAGCACTTTTTTAATTTAATTTTTATTTTAAAAATGTGTTTTGAAAGGCGTTCTTATCAGTTTGAAAGCCTCAAAAATGCATTTATAAATGTGAAAATATATTGACTATCTTACAAAATATAACTATTTTTTATAGTAATTTATCTATGCTGTACTTAAATTTTTAAAAGAGCAGAAAACAAAGATAAGAAAACCATAAAAGATTGAAGGATTATCTAAATATTTTAAATAATAAATAACAATCCATGGAGTGTTGTCGGATGTTCTAGACGAAAATGACAGATTGATAATTTGGTTGGACACAGTCAATATTATCACCCATAATATAACAAGTGGTATGATTATCATCGATGATATTTTCGAATTGAAACCGAGCTGCAGATTAGACGAGTCCGCAGGACGAGTGAAATGTGCTGCTTTGGTTTCAATGAGTAAATATCGTCGATAATTAATCATACTACGAGTTATATTTAGTGAAAAAATAAAATGAATTTTAGGATTTAACGAATTGTCAGTTTGACATTTGAAATTAAAATGTGCTTTCAAATATAAAAAGACTTTAATAAACCTTATTTATTCAAACTTAATTTAATTTTATTATCGTTTACACCAACCCATCGATCTTTTAGAGTTTATTATTCATTATTTTAATCATTTAACAAACACAGTAAGTATTTGAATGTCAATAAATGTCAAATCAAGAAAAGTGTCAAAATCCTTAGCAACGTGTAAACAAGGTGATAAAAAATATTGTCGCTGTGATAAAATGCGTAACCATGTAGTACTTGCATTTTATTGGTTCTAATTATAATAAATTTTATTGTCATTGCAAAACTGTGCAGTGAAAGTTAAAAAAATATATATGGCACTTCTACAACCACATTTTTGTCAATAATCACAACATATATGGGTCATTCCACGTTACTCGGGGATTTTTGTCCCGCCCGTCACAATTAAAAATTGTAAGTAAAAACTACACGTTATAAAATTTATTTAAAAATATTGTTTTATTGTGCTTTTAATAAGTTATAAGCACAATACAAATAATATTATAAAATATTAATTTTATAACTTGGTTTTTACTCACAATTTTTAATTGTGACGGGTGGGACAAAAATTACCGAGTAACGTGGAATGCCCCATATGCATATTTTAGTAATAATAACTATAAAAGTTTAGCAATAATAAACTATAACATCCCGTGTAGTCTTAGCAACACAAAGTCAATCTTTTTAAAACTTTGTAAATGTCTGTTTAAGTAGACTATTACAATCTAGATTTTTTTTGACATTTTCTCATAGCGATTAATATCGTGCCCAAAATTACTTAAAGCATAAACAATCGTTTTTGTGAACAATATTATTTGTATAACGACAAATTTATTTTATTTATTATTATTTTTATAGTAATATATCTAAACTAGTTGGAATCAAAGTTTCATTGCAAAAATGGGTTTTAAAGTCCTAAAATCATTTATCTGAAAAATAATAATTTTATAACCTAAATTACCAGCCTCACAACAGTACTGCTTTAACTTATTTCTCAGCCAGGTTAAAATAAAGATTCTTGTCAACCTAAATACTGACTGTTATAGAACCTCAGGGATATTTTTTACTTTGTATTATTTATCGCGTCTGAGTAATCGTTTGCAATGCAAATAAGCATTTTGCACAATTGCGTTATTATCGAAATCGGTCATTGTGTTTAATCAAAATTAATGCGGAATTATAAAGACGTCGACGTCGTGAGTCATGCTTTTAATCTAAAATTGTAATGAGGAAAAATACGATGGTTATTTAATTTCAGGACGGTTTGTTTATTTGTTGTTGATATTGCATGCGGCCTTCGCATACATTATTTGTGTATATTTTAATAATATTGATCCACAAAAATTATTATTTTAAAATTTAATGCCCATGGGCAGTATGTCCGTTTTAACTTTGAATACCAAATATTGTTTTTTACTCTCTAAAAATGAAATAGTCAAAATTCTACTATTTGAATTAGTAAAAGCATTTTTTACTAATAAAATAGTCGTTTTCACTTTTAAATAGTTATTTTTTACTATGTAAATAGTTAAAGTTTGACTAATTTAAGATTAGTCACCATATTTGACTATTTCTGACAGTAACTAATTTTTTTAGTCGTTTACGGCCAACAACAAAGTATTATTTGAATTAAATGCATATACCTCTCCATGGTTAAATGACCCATAAAACAAATAAAGATGCAACAAGTTTAGCTCAAAATAGCAAGACAAATAATATATTAAACTTTAAAATATTATGAACCATATTTATTGACAAATAAAATTAATTTTTATAAGAGCGGCTGACAGCCGAATGCGTTAAGACTTTAACTTGACAAACTTGTCAAGTGACAGACCTGAGTTCAATCCCAGGCTGGGTCAAAACTTTTTTTAAATTTAAATTTACTAATTTGACTATTTCATTCAGTGGAATTTGACTAATTATTAGTGACTGCTTTTTCACTATGACAATTAGTCAAATATGACTTATAATTAGTTATTTTTGACTAATTCATTTTAAGAGAGTAGACAAACTAATAAGGAAAACCCTGTTTTTTATAAAAATAAATTGGTACACGTGTTTTACTGTACTTTTTATTACAATCTACTATAATCTAATCTGGATTGTTCTAAATCCAGATTAAACGACCTTTTTTTAATGGCAGACTCACACGATAAAAGTAATAAAACAATACAATAAAATATAGAGGAAAGTGACCAAATACGGAATACTCTTTTTTTAATGGTTTTAATAACACTCAACTGAAACTGAAATAACATGACGGAGATAAAAAGGGTTTATGTAAAAACAAAAGAATGTCGATAATTCAAAAACAAAAGCTCAAGTCAAAAATATATCTTGAGTAGAAACACCCTGCCTAAACCCATTTAATTTGTTTTTAAAATAGATTTAGAAAATACACTTAGTTGAGTGAATCATTGGATAAATTAACGTTCAGCAGTGGCGCGTTATCGTCGATAATTAAGCAATCAATCGGCTATGACCTAAAAATGTTGATTTACCTAGGTAATCGAGAATTAACTAGGTATGTTTAAAAAAATTAATGGAAATTGCTTTCGTGTATTTAAAAGTTTTGATAAATATGCAAAATTGCCTTAAATGACCTATTAATGATGTCACAGTGTTGCCGGATGGTACACATTTGTTAATTCGACACAGGTCTAAAAAAATTTTGTATGCGATAATTTTTTTCTTACATGAAATCGTTGTAGTTGAATGGCACTTCAGTCACTTTGATAACGGATAAAAAGGAAGGTTACAAGTGGATAATTATTTATTTACCTCGTGTCATTTCATTTCCTTGACAACCTTGTAAATAATTATTTTTTAATACCAGTTGTCAAAAAATCTTTTGAAATGAATCGTTTTGTTGTCGTTTTCGACAAAAAAATTAAAGAACAAATTGTAAAAAGTATCCCAAATAACACTTTAAATAATAAAACGTAAATTTGGCGACAATATATGGCATTTTGTAATGCGAGGAATTACAAACTACTCGAGTCAAAATCAAAGAAAGATTTAGCAAATATTTTGCTTGATTGGGCATACAATATGAAAAAAAATAATAGAGATGATTTCAAGAAATACGTTATCAAAACTATGTGGAACGGCAAAAATGCTTCAAGAGAAATAATATCAAAATTCCGATATTGTATTCAAAGAAGCCCGTGATGCTAGAATCGCAAAAAGAAAGGAGTTACAAAGAATTCCGGGAGGCAGAAAAAAAAGTTCAAACGCTCTAACAAAAGAGGAAATTATAAAAATGGTCAAGTTATGGAAAGAAAATGAACCAGAAGGTTTACAAAAAAGATTCTTCCATATTGTTTCTTACGAGTTATCATGAAGAGGTGGAGAAGCGGCAGCAGGCATGTTGTAAACAATAATATACAGTATTGCCATTCTCACTTTTTCTCACTTTTTTCATAAAAGCTCACTTTTGCTCACTTTTTTGTTGTTTTCTCACCTTTCTCCCTATTTTTAAAATTTTTTTAGGTGAAAAAAAAACAAAATTCTTACATTTTTGTGTTTTCTGCATTTATTTTTATATAAATGGAATCCACATTATTCAACCCAGTTTACAAAAGCAAAACGTTCTCCTATTGGCTGGATTTAAAAAGACGGTTGACAATATAACTTATTTGTTTTAAGTAATGGCGTGACAGTTTTAAGCGTTTTTTAATAATTATTGTAAAAAAGTTAACTGATGATTGGAATCTTTTGCGGTTAGAAGACGCAAACCTAGTAAACATAAACAAAGATGGAAAAATACTTCGCGTTGACCATTATTGGCGACAAATTTTTGAGTTAAAAGATCCTACTGGACAGCCAAAATATCCAGTCTAGTAAAAGCTGCCCTAACTTTAGCACATGGCAGCGCAGATATCGAAAGACAATTTTCAGTTTCTGGTAAGACCCTAACAGATGATAAAGCCCGAATGAAAGCATGAACATTAAATGCAAAATTAAATATTAAAAGCGCATTGCGGAAATATGGTGGTAGAGTCGACCTAGTACCTATTTCTGCTGAGTTGTTAAGGTCTGCCTATTCCACCAACAGCAAATATAAAGAACACTTGACTAATAAAAAGAAAAAAGAGGAAATATAGAAAATTCAAGATAATGAAAAGGAAGAAGAAATTAGACAGCAAGCAGAAAGACGCATTTTAATGCAGAAGCAAGATAATAAATTAAATGCCCTTGAAACCGAATTAACAGAGGCAAAAAAAGAAAATAAATTAAAGAAAAATGCAACTGATAAACTTTTAAAAGAAGCAAATGAACGACTCAAAAAAGATTTAAGAAATAAGAACTTAGCAGAAATAGCAGCTGCTCAGGGGATGCTGGAAGGAGCCAACGCATTACGAAAAGATACCCAGAATTCGCAAGACGCAACCGATAAATTGCAATGCAAAATTAATAAAAGAAAATCGGAACTTACATATATCATCATTTCTCCCTCCATCAGAGAAGTCAGATAGAGAACAGTAAACCAATTTTTTTTTATTTTTTTTAATATGATGATTTTATTTATTTATTTTTTTGTTAAGACTAGAAGATGAGAATTTTATTTACTTATTTTTGTTAAGACTTTAGAAGATGAGAATTTTATTTACTTTAAATAAAGTAGATCTACTTATCCATACAAAGTTTTTCTTTTTATTTCTTTTTTAATGCTACATCAGTAAAAATTACTTATTTATCTATTGACTATTTTCTCACTATTTTCGTTAAAAAGCTCACTTTTCTCACTTTTTCTAATACACTGACCCAGTGGCAACTCTGTAATATATTATTTTAGTAAAGCAAAAACCAACGATGGGATGCTCACAGGCAGAATTGAATACAATCCAGTGTTTTCTAAGACTGCACAAGGAGGATCTAAAAGATTAAGTCGCAGTAAATGGATTTTAAAAAATGAGGAAGATCCAAGCATTTGTCCAGTAAAACTATTTAAAGTTCTTCTGAAAAAATATCTAAATACTTAACATCAGATCGAAGATTTAACGCCACTTGATTTTTTTCTTTGGAGTCATTTAAAACCAAAAATCTACAAAACACCATCTAAGAACATTCAATAACGGATCGACCTGTTTTTGCTCAAGAACATACTAACTCAAAAGTTATTTAGGGTGCCTCGTTTTTAAGCCCTGTACCTATTTAAATTAAATAATATTCTACAAAAATGATGTCATAAGTATCTAAATAAAACTCTCGAAACATGATTAATGTGAAATCATCATAAGCCATTACGCTAAAATAAACTTGAAGCGAATCCAATTAAATCTATATTTAAATTAATATCTCGCTTTATTATTAAACATCAACAACAATAATAAAAAGCAGCGCTTGTGTGTTTACGCATATAGAGAGCATATGGCTCTATTATTTGTAAATCTACACCCGCGATATCGAAGATTAACTAATAAAGTTTGTTTACCGCGTTTTACTATTAACCTTAATCGCGTTAACGGGCCGAAAACCGGCTGAAAATAGTCAAACATCCGAGGTATTTTATTTATCGAACGAATCAATATATAAAGCCAAAATTGCCTACATCAAGTTTAACGCCAAATTTATTAATTATTTAATTATAGGTAGATTTTCTTTTTTTTTAAGTTATTGTGGCAAACAATAAAATTTATTTTGTCGAGCAGTGTTATCCTAACCTCAAATCATAATATAACATGAAAAATTTGATTTTGACAGATTTGACGTTTGCAAAATAACAATAATAATAGGTGAGTTCGGGATTGCTACACCGTTCACACCGTGCGCACTTAGCAGTTCGGGTATGCAATTAATGTAAAAAGTGTGATTGTAATTGCGTTCGGGTATTTTAGTGTGGTGTGAACGGTGTTTGCACCAAACGCCCCGACTTGTGAGCTAGGGCTTTGGTGCGGGCATGCGCTTTAGGTAGGTATTACATTTTTGAATTAAAAGTTTTACCCATGGAACAACACAACAACAGGTGTTGTTCTATGGTTTTAACCTTACAAATTGAAAGTTACAATTGTTAACAATTCTGTGATAATAACAACGGTGATACCTACATACCTACAAATATCACACCATAAAAACACCGAAGCGTTCGGGTTGCGAATCATAGGTTTCTCTTGCGAATGCACTTTTAACTCCCTACTCCAACACTACACCGCACTACACTTACACCAAACCGCAATCCCGAACTCACCTAATAAATAATAATATTTTACAAGTGCATACTAGAAAAAAAACATCGATTTCTTATTGTCATGTTATAAGATATGCGTTAACTTAATACATCTCATATGCCTTTAATTAATGCATAAATGCTAAAGTGACATTGAAAAATTAATGTTTTTTTGCTTGTATGCACTTATGCCTGTAGACGTGCCATATAAAATTTTTTAAACTTTTACTGCACAGTTTTGCAATAATAAACAATAATGTTGACTGTGTCCAAAAAATTATCAATCTGTCATTTTCGTCTAAATTATTAAAAACAATTATATTTTTATTTATAATAAGTATATCCTTCTACCTTTTATGGTTTTCTGTTCTTTGTTTTCTGCTCTTCTCGAGACTTGCATTCAACATACTGCATGTTTTTGTTGATTTATTTTTGGTTCCCATCCTTTTTTTATTATGGACTTTATTCGTTTCGCAGAATATAATAACTTATTTTCTTATTTTCAGATTTTAAATAACACTGCATATAGAAATGTCACTGCAACTGTAAAAAGCGAAAAACGTTACCATAGATAGATAGTTGGTTTCAACTATCAACTATTAACTTTTGTTTAAAAATAAAAATAATTATAAAATAAGTTGTGACAAACATTTTTTTAAAAATGTTAAAAATGGCGTCGTACTACCAAAATGTTACATTTAAAAAATACAAATCATGTGACATTATTCAAAGGTCTAATTTATCATCCTAAAATGTCCAATGCCTAATCTACCGCTTCTAAAAATAAAAGGAGGGTTTTTACGTTCGCACTGTATAGTCACTGGCAAATAAAGTGTCTTGACTAGGGTTTTAAAATTTCCGAAAAAATTCAGCCGGCGGAAAAAAAATTGTGAAATTTACAGAAAACTGACTTAAATTTTTTTCATTTTATTCAAAGGGTAAAAATGCGCAAGTCAATTTTTTTGAAAATTTCTAAATACTAACCGTATACGGATATCGAGAATAATAATAATAATTACTTATTCCTTTTATTTTAATTCAGTTAAAATATTATACCGGGTCGCAAAAAAGCATAAGTATTCGGTACTGTATTCAAAGATAATACATATTATCTTAATCGTATTACCTTTGGCTGTATTAACTTAACTTTTGTTCGATTTGACACTTTATTAAATTATAATTTTGTAATTTACCTTTATAATTATTTTTTAATTGGATATTTTCAATGGACTCCTTTTTGCAAAAAAGACCAATCCGACAGTATATTTAACGTTTACGTTTATTTTCTTTAATCAATTTAATTTATTGTTTAGTTTTATTTATTTTTTTCAATTAAAATTAAGTTAAGTGTTGTTGATTGCAACTGTTTTTCAAACGTGTATATTTTCCAAAAAAAAAAAAAAAAAAAAATTCCCAAAAAGCCAACAAGGCTTTTTTCCCAATTTTTTCGGTTTTTTTCCGACACTTTAAAACCCTAGTCTTGACAAAGTTTTAAAAAAGTCTTGACAAAGTATTAAAAAAGTATGAAAAATATATTAAATAAATAAAATGAAAAAAATTGGGCCATGCACTTATCAAACAACCTAGTAGAAGAAGTTACATAAAAATCGTATTAATTGAAGTGATGTGGTGTGTGGATATTTATGCTAATAGAGAGAAATCTTATTGAACAAGTTTATGCATCGAAATCAGAATTAATTGCGTAGATGGAAGATGTCCGTTCGCAAAGGTAAGGTGACGGTCTTGCAGCCTTTCACTGCACGATTCCGTGTTTTATCGAGTTTTGTTTAAATATCATCGAATCGTAGATACCGACTAGGTAACGACATCGGAATGCAGCAGAATTATTGTTTTGTTTTCTAACAAATGCCGATTTTTAAAATAAACGGTAGGAGTACCTAAACATAAATTAGTCAAAAATTACTAATTACTACAGTTATTAATGGCTGCTTTTTTACTTATACCATGTGATACTATGGTATTCCCAACATTTAATATCTAATTATTATGTAAATTGTCCCTTGAATCCGAAAATACCATCAAAAATTAAATTTGTCAATTCCATATTACACAGTGCAACAGAAAAAAAAATGATGGGGTTCTGAAAGTGGTTTTCGTTTCTCCTATCCAAAGAATGCCTTTTTGCGTTTAGAGAATGTTTAGATTGATTTAGGTTTTTTTTTAATATCGATTTTAAGTTTTATTAATTTTGGAATCTGAAAAACCGTTATTTATTAATTTAAACCAAAACAAAAAAAATGATGGGGTTCTGAAAGTGGTTTTCGTTTCTCCTATCCAAAGAATGCCTTTTTGCGTTTACAGAATGTTTAGATTGATTCAGGTTTTTTTAATATCGATTTTAAGTTTTATTAATTTTGGAACCCGAAAAACCGTATTTATTAATTTAAACCAATTAACTGGTAGGAAATTGTTGTCATAACAATAAATTAAAAAGAAGTAATAAAAAATAAAACAAAAATTAAAAATGGGTGTAAACATGTCACTAAAAGTACATTTGCTCCATGCACATCTTGACCTGTTCGAAAATCAGCTGTCCACCGAATCAGAAGAGCATCAAATAATAATGGAAATGGAAAATCCTTATAGAGGAAAGAGGTTAGATTCGATGTTGGTAGATTTTTGTTGGCATAAAATTATAAATAAAATTTGTTATATATATATTATGTTGATTCATACATGTTTTTAATAATTAATATAATAATAATAATAATAATAATTACCATAATTATTATTATGGTAGAAGCGAAAGAACTAAGAAATTGCACTAGGTACAACATATTAAATCCAGAAAAAGGTTTAATTAAAAAAAAATTTGCTTTTTATTGTTCTCATTATTTTTTTATTTAATTGTTTTTTTATTTATTTGATTGTTATGTACTAATTATTTATTATTTTACGATATTTCGGGCTCCAGAATTACTAAAACTTTAAATTGATATTAAGAAACAGAATCAATCTAAACATTCTGTAAACGCTCTAATTCATGATTTTGATTGTAGAAACCAAAAATACTTTTAGATCCCCATCACCTTAATTTTTTCCGAAAATGCACAGTGTTATATGAAAAATTGTCTCAAAATTGTCTCAAAAAACTGTTCCACCTTTATATAATTATAACTTTTGACGACATTTTCGGATTCAGGGGACAATTTTTCATGGAAATTGACTGCTAAATGTTCGGGATACGAATTGCTATTGACGAGAATTATTAGTCGCTGCTTTTTCGCTATGACAATTGGTCATTTTTGACTAATATATTTTTAGAGAGGTCTTAAAAAAATATATTTT